TATCCTTCTTGGTATACTCAAAGCTGCTGAGATCTGTTTTGGTGTCTGACATAATTTGCGGGAAATTCTCCATTACTATTGCTTCAAATATTGTTTCTATTCCTTTCTTCTTATTCTGGTTTCTCACTACATGTATATTACACCTTTGTAGTTGTTCCACAGTTTGGGGATATTCTCTCTTTTTGCAGTCTTTTTTTACCTTTGCTGTTCAGTTTTAGAAATTTCTATTGTCTTAGCTTTCAGCTCAGAGATTCTTTCCTCAGCCATGTCTACTCTCCTAATGAGCGCATCAAATGCATTCTTCATTTTTGTTAACAGCTTTTGTGATCTCTAGCATTTCTTTTGATTTTTTTTTTTTTTTTTTTACTTAGAATCCCCATCTTTGCTTATGTTATCATCTGTTCTGGCATATTGTCTACTCTTTCCATTAGAGCCCTTGGCATATTAATCATAGTTATTTTAAATTCCCAGTCTGATAATTCCAACATCCCTGCCATCTGACTTTTTTTTTTTTAAAGATTTTATTTATTTATTTGACAGAGAGACACAGTGAGAGAGGGAACACAAGCAGGGGGAGTGGGAGAGAGAGAAGCAGGCCTCCCGCCGAGCAGGGAGCCCCATGTGGGGCTCAATCCCAGGACCCTGGGATCATGACCTGAGCCGAAGGCAGATGCTTAACGACTGAGCCACCCAGGTGCCCCCCATCTGACTCTTATTCCAATGCTTGCTCTGTCTCTTCTGTGTTTTTTGCCTTTTAATATGCCTTATAATTTTTTATTGACATCCAGACTTGGTGTACTGAATAAAAGGAACATCTGTGAATAGGTCTTTTATAATGTGATAGTAGGTATTGGAGAAGGAAAGATTCTCTAGATCTATGATTAGGTCTTAGTCTTATAGGGAATTTGTGCCCCTGGGCTGTGACCTTCACCAGTGCTTCTCAGTAACCCACCACTAAGTGGGACAGGATGGCTGGAGGGAGCTGGAGTTGAGTATTTCTCTTCGCTTAGATCAGTTAGGCTTTGATAAAACCCCAGCAGGTTAGGCTCTAGTAATACTTTCTCTTGAGGGCCCGTCCTTTCAAGAAGCACAGAAATGCTCTGCTCTGGGTGTATTTCAAAATGGCTGCTTTCCACCTCCTTCTGTTGGAAGCTGAAGGGTTTTGTTTTTTTTTTTTTCTCCAGTCTTTACTTTGTAGACCTGATAGGGCTCTTGGGGATAAAACTCAAAAAAGTGTGGGGGATCCTTTAAGACTGGATGCCCCTAGAGTTTTGAAGTCCCAGACTTGTCCTCCTGAGCCTCCAGTAACTGATCAATTACAGCTTAGGTTTTCCTAGTCTTGTGCTGGTTCTCCCAGAGCTTTCTGCTCATGGGCTTCTGCTCTGGTGGGTCATGATTCTTTGTATTCACCTGTTTGTCTCTATGGTTTGGGGAGCAGTCCTGTGACCTCAGTGACCTCAATTATCTGACAAAGCTAAGGAGAGTTGCCAAGTTTCAGTTTGTTCAGCTTTTTACTTGTCAAAATAGAGTGATAACTTCCAAGCTCTTTACATGTTAGACTGTAAACCAGAAGTCTTCTCTTCAATTTTTTATGATCCATTTTTAGATATTATCATCATTACTATTATTATTAAGGGTCTTTGAGATTCATGCAGTCTTAATTTGGAGATTGGAGATTGAAATACTTTAGGCAAACAATTTGTTAAAAATCAAAATGGAAAATAAATTTCCTTACATCTTTAGATAAGATTGCAAAGAGAATTCCCTTCACTTTAGGGGTTTCCCTGCACAAAACACTTTATTTCATTATGTTCACAAAGTTTTAAGTTTTCGTTTAAAAAAATACAGATCTGAAACACAAAGCTTAAAAGAGAAATAGAAAAAAGAGAAAGTGAAAACTTCCATTTATCCACAGTCATTCCCAAGCCTCAGTTCTAAATCCAGCATTCTTCAGCCCTCTGTAATTATGGACTACAGCATTTAGCTGTGTATGAGAACAAATGAAAACCCCAAGCAATGACTCAAAACCTCCATAACCAAGCCAGCTACTTTTGATAAGTAGGTTGTAGAAAAACTTTCCTTAATAACACTGTGGTATGATAATGATTAATTCAATTAACAAGCATATTGAATACCGTCTCTGTGTAATTGGCTAGGTGCTAGTAAGTTACTCTTGCTTTTTCAAAGCATAATATTTAGTTATGGGAAGATAGAGTATTCATACAACTTGGTGGTAATTGTAAGGTAACTTGTAAGGAAACGTAATGTCATGAAACTTAACTAGAAATAACACACTGTTCTAGAATGTCTTTGGGGTCAAGAGATCTGGAGTGCCATCTCAGCTCTACCATTTGGACAAGTCACCTTACTTCTCTGAGGCCCGTTTCCCTCATCTGTAAATTAGGAAGAAGGGCTTTTACAAGATGACTAGGATTATATGAGATAACACTTGTAGAGTACTGTCACTATCTATTGGGCACTGTATGTTAATTTCCACTCCCTTCCATTCCAATACAATTAAGTATCTAAGTGCTGTTACATTAATGGAGAGCAGAAGTACCACAAACATGCTGTTTTGGGGCCACATCGTGTTTTAATTTTTTGAATTTGAATTATTTGACAACACTTAAAAATTAAAGGAGTCCACATAAAATCTGGATTTCTATTTTTTCCTGAAATTTATAGTGTCTGGGACCTCCATGGGAGATCCATCTGCTGGAGCTTGAGGACATTGTGAGCCAAGTTTTGAAGAATATTCATGAACAGAGTATGTGCTTAATATAAGCTTAAAGCTGTGGGTCTCTGACAGGACCTCTAATTTGAGCAGGCTCTCATGGGTCCTTAATGGGCTTCTTTTGTGCTTAAAAATGATCAGCAACGAAGTGTGTAGCTTGACATCACTGACATTAGTTCACACAGATGGAGGATTAGAAAGGAGATAGAGCTTTTCCAGTACAAGCTTAGCTTTTATGGGTGCACACATCCCCCATCCCCCTCCACCTCCACCCCCATCCCCCACCACCACCAGGAGCACATTCGCTGTCATCTCTAACCTGTAAGGATTAGATTAGAACACAAGCAAGAAAAGACAGAGGGAAAGAGGGAAGTCTGGTGAACTTGACAAAGCCCTTCTTCTTGGGCAGAACAAAAGAGAATATGGAGGCAGACATCTGCATAAATCAGTCCAAAGCAAGTCAAAGAAATTCCAGCAGAAAGGGGACTTTTTGCCCAAATTATGGAGCTAATTATCTCAGTCCTCCACTTCAGTGTTCCTGGGGAGACCTGGCTGAAGAATGCTTTTCCAACGAGCTGGCAGATTCAGAAGTGGAGAGAAAACGTGTTATTGTAACCGCAGCTATGGAGCCCAAGCCTGGTGGCTGCCTCTGTCCAGAACACCTGTTGAGAGCATCCAAGCTCAGACCAGCATGGCTTGCTGGGGGGAAAAGGGGGGGCTTTTGAGAAGATCATCATGGTCTGCACGCTGGCAGGAGAAGAATGCCAGCTCCCAAAGAAGCCACTCTTGGTTGCTTTTTAAAAATCTGTACAACTTTAACACTGTCCTAGAAGTTATAGATGATTTTCATCTTTCTGTTTAAAATGTATCTTTTTTTTAACAACTTTGAGTAGTAAAAAGGGCAACTTATTAATGAAACCCTTCTGCCTTCAATGTATGAAATTAAAAGATTATTATAACTACAGGCAAGAAAGCATTTGGATTATGTGGCATTTGGAAATGACAATAAAGATTATCCATATGGTCTGATGTTGTCAATGTCTTACATTGCATTAGCAATCACCTAATATGGGCGTGATTTTGATTATGTGGCTCATTTTAAATTCTGCTGTGTCCTAGGTCAATCAGTCAAGATGATTTACTAGAAAGAGCTGCCATCTTCTTTTGTAAATGCTGCCGGGTACTTAGGCAGAATTAGAATATTTTAGGACATAATATCTTTGGTATTATGGTGCAATAGTCTTAAACCTTCTCACTTTATACCTTTTCCTTAAGCATCTCTCATTTTATTCTTGGCTGTCCCAGGTACATAAAACAACCTCCAGTAGTAAAAGCTGAAAATTTTTGCTTTATCTGTTTATTTGTATGTCAGGTCTTTTACATTTTTATGGCTTTGTCCAGGTATTTGTAACTTGAGATTATGAGTTTTGAGTGGTCAGGGAGCAGGACTCAGAGGCCAGAGTATCTCCAAAAGAATTGGAAATCTCTCTACCTTCCTTGGCCTTTTTGCATTCTCTTCCAAGGAGGGAGGGGACATAGGGGCTTACCCCTCTGCTAAACTCTCCAAGGGAAGCCAGCAACTTGAAATTTCTTTACCTTCTGCTCTGCTGACCAGCCTAGGTGAGGACCTAATCTGGGGTCATGTGGAATTAAGTCCCGTCACAGTTCCCTGAGAAGTCGGGATATGCCCTCCTGTGCACCTGAGGTGTGAGCCCCTCTTACCCTAGTCAGGCTGAATGTCATGGCCAGCAACTTTCTGCACATCCTCCAATGATATTGCTTTCTTCCCTTCTTGCCTACTTTTGTATTTTAGTTCAATAATATGCCTCATAGATTCATCCTTGGATTCTTTCAGTTTTGTTTGGCAGGTATTTACCAGGGCATCTACTCTCTGCCACTGAATGTAGAAAATAATTTAGTAAAAAGTTAGTAGCTCTAGAAGCTTATCAGTAAATAGATTATGAACACATTGTACTATGGCCAGTGGTCATTTTAATTTAACATGTAGTAGGAGAAACAGAAAGTAATATTGTAGGCTGTGTGTTCCTAATATCACTGGGTTTTTGAAGATGGACCGTGGGTATTTTTCATCTCTTTGTCTCTGCAGCTGGCAGAGAACCTGACATCAAGAAGGCACCATAAATAGATGTTAGGGATGAACACGAGTAATTCAGTAGAAGTTATTCCTGATCGTTACGAAGTACACATGCCAAAGCCCCATTTTCCATTCTCATGCATGTCTATATAATGAACTCTTTGTCCTAAGGAAACTAGCCAAGAAGCGGAAGGAGACAATGAGCAGCACGAGGCAGGAGATGACTGTGATGGTGAACTCAATGGACAAGAGCTATGCCGAGCAAGGCACCAACTGCGATGAGGCATTCTCATTCATGGACACACACAATCTGAACGGGAGATGTAAGTGCACACATGTCTTATCTTCTAGTACATTTCTCTGGTTTTCCAGGATGCTGGATAGGACTAGGGCATAAAAAACAAAACTCCCTGAAGAATTCTTATGCCCTATTAGTTTCTCCATCCCTTTCAGCAATTCTGAAAACTCTTTGTGCCATGGGTTGCATAGGAGAGGAAGATATAGCAGAGATGATAGGGCCAGACCAGGGAGTGCAGGAAGCCACAAGTAAGTTTCTGTGAAGCCTTAGTGTTGACATGAAGGCTTTTCTCTTCTTGAAGGGGAAGACACCTGCTTCTCATCACCCTTTTTGCAGTCGAGATCCTGTTTGTAAGCTAGCCAGTTGTGGAATTACACAGGGAAGCCTGTTCTAAACAGCTCACTAAATGGCAGTAACAAGTTAATTGTTTATTTGTTTAGCTGACAGGTTCTGCCTTGATTATAGGGCTATTAATGGCAATTAATAAGTTAAGCTATATTTCCACTTTGCAAGTCTCACATCTCACACCAGGTGGGTAAACCAAGCTTCAGCTCATGCCCTCCCAGACTGCCACCTGTGATCTAGGTACAAGGCATTATTTTAGAAAGCTAACAATTCAGTTGAGTATGTGAAGAACAAAAGGCGCTGTTGTGGTGTCCCTGGTGATCCTGTCAGAGACCAGAAGTAAATCCCCCGTGGATGCCTGATTCTGTGGTTCATGGCCATGCTGGGTTCAAGGGCAGAGGTTTCTTTACTGTGTGAAATCCATGCCCACAGACTGACTCTGACACTGGCTGCATAATTAGCATGTTGGACAGCAAGAGGATGGAAAAAATGTGCAGCTATCACCAACACTAATAAAAATGCAGAAAGTCTGGAACCATGACTGAGAAGCACAGAAATCAGGTCTCGAGGGTTGGGTGAGAGGGCTGATACCAACGTGGACAGTGTGTGCCGTGTCCAGACCACCTGCTCGGCCTGTTCTTTTGCTACAGCCCCCAGGCATCCCATCTGCCCACCCTCTCTCTAGTCACTACGTGGTCAGTGTCCACCTCTCCCACACTTTGCCCTTCTGCATTCAGCGGGGCTCCCCAGAGCTTCACCGCAGACTGTTTTCTATTTATGGTAGCTACAGTTGCCCACTCTTCCTACTTAGAGGCACTACATTCATTCATCTATATGCATACCGGCCCAGTGGAGCAGGAGTTTAGCAGACATCTCTGTCAGCTGTCACCCCAGTGGGGAGGGTGGCTCTCTTCATCCTTGGTCATTGCTTTTTGCCCTTTAGTATCATTTTCAGTGTAAACGACATAATCTGTATACTCCAGTATCCCACAAACTACATCCTTTTCTCATAGAATTTTCTCTTTTTTTGTATCAAATATTTTATATATACATACACATATATAATTCATTTAATGGCCAAAATAAAGCAATTTACGATACACTGTTGTGGGCTGGGGTGGGAATAGTCCTGCCTATCACCAACAGGGTTAGAATCTTGATAGTAGTGGTTAGTTCTTCAACGTCATTATGAAAGGGGCCACACGGATAGGTGCTCTCACTTTCTTTTTTTTTTTTTAAAGGTTTTATTTATTTATTTGACAGAGAGAGAGAGATAGCGAGAGCAGGAACACAAGCAGGGGGAGTGGGAGAGGGAGAAGCAGGCTTCCCGCCGAGCAGGGAGCCCGATGTGGGACTCGATCCCAGGACCCTGGGATCATGACCTGAGCTGAAGGCAGACGCTTAACGACTGAGCCACCCAGGCGCCCAGGTGCTCTCACTTTCTAGGATAACCCGTTAATGTTCTAAATGTCCTATTTCGTGGTGAAATTCCTCACGCATAAATTTACTAGGAATTGCCTGCCCAGATGACTAGTTTCTAGGCTTTTGAAGTTTGAACAACAGGAGATATTTGCCTCTGGTCAGGAAATTTAATTTGGCAGTTATTTCTTAAAAAGTGAATGTATCTGTGGAAATCCATAAATGCTCAGGCAAAGAGGTTGCTGTAGAAATCAGTATCAGCTTCCTTGGCTCATCTGCCACAAGCCATTATTTTATGCTTCCCGTCAATAAAGCTGATAGAGGAAACACAGCTAGGCCTTCCATTTTCCTCCCACTCTGTGAGCAATGACTAGGTGCTGTCCATTCCCCAACCATTGGAGTGACCGTGACGGTAACTTTATGAACTACTGGGGAAGGAAACGTGCAGGAGAGGGCTTCATTAGACCCCTAGGCTTCCAGTCCCAAACCTATTACAAGTCTGGGTATGTCTGAGGTCTTTTAGGGCTGGGAGGTGAGTAGCTTTTAGAAATGAGACAGAAAAATGAAATTGGAGAATTTAAAAATAAGCACAAGCATATTTATAAGAATGGGGAATAATCTGCCTACTAAATCAAATGGGAGTTGTACCATCTTCTTTTAATATGTTATACAAAGGGGAAAAATAAATATGTATAGTAGGAATGGGTTTCATTTTTATACTAAAGACAAAAGTATTTAAAATATATTTTAAAGGGTGAAAATAAACAGCTATTTTGTATCTGCTTTGCACACTTTTGCCAATGACATAAAAATGTCTGCAGGTAATAGACATTATTCTTGCTGACCCTAGCACATTTTATAAGTACTCAGGTTTTTTGTTCTTATTTTCATCAATTACCCTCTTTTTTCCTGGCAGTTTACCATAAACATGCATTATAAATATGATACCTCTTTATTTTAGAAAAATATCTTATAAATGACAACCAGCCTGGGTTCTGGTTCTTGGTGTGTCATTTATTAATTCTACATTTTAAAAAAATAAACAGTGGTTAAAAAAAACACTGTCATAGAGGAACTTCTCCAGGAGAGCTAAAATATATTAACATGTCAGAATAGAGATAACGTACAATATCCACAGGGATTTGGTACTTCTTCCCATAGTAAAATGATGTAATTGGGTATTAGTGTCCTGATCTGGAACTTTAGCATCAAATAAATCATATAACTACATCAGAAAGTTAAGATTTAGACTTACATTTAACCAACTTGAACACTTGAACACATTCAAATTATTTATCCTTATTACTTGAATGAAATTAAAATGATTTTAAAGCACTAATCAATTAAGATGTTGAAGACAGTTCACAAACTACTTTTAAAAAAGGAAGTACCCACTTTCAAAGAAATCAGATTAATTGGATGGGATCGACTTTCCCTCCCAATAACAGAGAGGGAGAAAGGGTCTAATAGTTAAATCCTGAGTCTTTCAGAGGACTGAAAAATGTGCATTTTTAAAAAGACTGAAAAGACTAATAGAACAATATGTAGGCATGTAGCTTTCACCTTAAATATAGTGCACACAAAACATCACCTTTATTTTTTGTAAACCAGGTCATAACCTTATAGAAAACTCTCAGAATATCCAAAATAGGAGGAAAGAGAGGAGTTAGAAAACTGTGAAAACCTTGACTTTCAGAAAATTCTCCAAAATCCATGTGTAGACACCTCCTCATACCCTTAGTTATTTAAAAAAAAAAAACAAAAAAAACAAACAAAAAAAAAAAACGCTGGCATGATACTAGAATTCTACAAGCAAAGGCTAGAAGTCAAAATAAATAGAAGTCTAATGAATTTCTCCATTCAAAATGGCGGCAGAGGTTATGAGGATTTTTCTTCATTTGTAGAGTAAGAAAATCTTTTAAGTGTTAAAAGGGTGTTTGTCCCCTAAAGTACAAATGATTCCCTGGAGACAGTGGGGAATGACAGTATTTACCACATAGACTTCAGTAGATGTCTGGCGTTTCTTCAGTCAAGTCTCTACCAGCACGGTGTCCTTCTGAGTGACCTCGGAGGGCTGTATTTTCAGGTACTGCCTCTCTGCCATTGCTGACTAGTCCTTCTCTCATTTACAGCTGTGTCTTCACCCTCGTCCTTTACAATGAAAACGAATACACTGAGCACATCGGTGCCCAATTCTTACTACCCAGGTAACAGATTTTTCCTTTGTTCCATCCATTCATAACCCCTTAGCAATCAGAATCAATCCGTGCTCTCACTTTGCTGTCCATGATGCTTGATACGTTTGATGTGTTGTAACCCGATGCTTTCTATGGCTTTCTGCGGGAAAAGTGGGGGGCCTTTCATCAATCATTTACTGTTCTTTCTCTTTTTACTTTCTCTGCATTGACCTGCTTATGATGTATGACAGACCCATTTGTGCCAACTGCAATTTTAGGTGAGAACATTTCCCTTTATCACAGTTTACTGCAGGAGTAATTTAGAAAGTCAGTGGCCACTCTCTAGGAGGCTGGAGTTCTGTATGACACAGGGATTGTAAGCAGGACAAGGGGGTTGTGGGTGGCCTGGGAGAAGGGCATAGATAATAAAAAGACTCTCCAAACAGTCTCCATTGATAAGAAGGGTTTGCCTGGGGTATGTTGGAAATGCTACTAAAAGATTCAAATGAGCGAGCCCAGCTCTAGTATTTTCCCTTTCTGTGTTCAGAATTTAAAGTCAGATTTGATCCCAAGGGAAAACACAGTATGTCATCACTCCGCTGTGTACTTCCAAGAGCTGAATTCGGTAATGTGACAGTCATAAAAGTAAAAATCACTTCTTATTATTTTCACTTATCACTAAGCTCTAAAAACTTCAATTTCAAAAATAACATTTTTCTAATTATGCCAAATGTTATGCAGAAAAATGATCACAGCAGAGTCTGGGCCTCCCTTCTCAGAGCCATTCAGGGCACCCCCAGCATTCCAAAATGTCTGTCACACAGTAGAATTTCAAAGGAGCTGATGTTCTCAGCAGCAAAGTGACAAGATGGCACTTTATAATCACATGGTTTATTATGTGTCATGGTTTATTATATGTCAGATGTCACTAGAAATGAAATAAAATGTTAGCCCAGTGGGGCAGAATGCATTGAAAATATAAAATGTTCCCCATGGGGAGCCGAAAAAAAATCCCATTTGTCCAGTGTAAGAAGGTTCTGGAGAAATGGCATTACCTGGCTCTGATAACCAAATAAGCATGAGCTGCTGTTGCATTTGAGATGCATCAATAATCCAAGTGTATCACGGCTGTGTTCTCTTTCTACTACTAACCTTACCGAGAAGGAGCACAACACAATCGACTTCAAGGTATATACCAATTCATTGTAGCAAAAGTTCCATCCTCAGCTGTTTGACTTCTGCTTCCTAATTCTCTTTACAAGGGTTGATATCTTTGCAACATAATTTTTCCCCCTGTGCTTCTCTTTTCTCTAAGTTGTTACGATTTTTGTAGATAGGGCGATTTGTTTTTCTTATGATATTTTCTGGGCTTGAGCAAGTTTGTTGCCTGAGTTACAAGTGAACTCAGACAGAAGTGTAAGAATGGACATAAACCCAGATTTTTGGGGTTCACAAAAATGAATACAGCTCACTAAAGCCCTCTCCCCCTTTTCATGCCAGCTATATGGGGAAAAGGCTGGTTTTTTATTCTTCTCATAAGTAAGGGGCACAGGCTAATTTTAGGCACCCGAACAAAGTAATCTACATGCAGATGACATTTGCAGAATCTCTTGATAGGCAAAGATTTGTGATTTCTTTGTGTGCTGTGGCATTCAGTCTGCAGCTCCTTTAGTAGATGTTCTGACCTTGGGGGAGCTGGAGTGGGGAGGGCTAAGACATGCACTGTCAGAGGGAAGAAAATGTTCAGATTGCACAGCAATCTTATCTTATTAAGATAAGCTCATTTAAACAAATATCATTTTTTACAGTCACTGCTTTGTTAGTACAAACACTAAGGACATCTTTTAAACTTGGTTAGGCTTCTTTACTGAAAGGGAATCACTTGAACAGACAATTCAAGTAGCAAAAATGATGCACATCTGTGAAAAATAAGTCAGCCAGATTGACAAATAACTGTTATCATGTCTGGCTTATATATGTACCAACACAGCAAATGGTGGTTCTTGGGAACCGTTCCTCCCACGGTGTTTGGTGCAGATGTGAATCTCTATATTGCATAGTAAGGATTAATGAAGTGATCCCTTGACACCATGTGAAGATGATAAGCTGGACATACATACATCTACTCTGGCACTTTTGGGGAACAGCACTATTAACAATTTATACAGACAAGAACGTTTTGCTGTGACTTGGAGCTCAGCACCCTTAAATCCTGTATTATCTCCTCCTTTTATGCTTATGTGCTAAGGTGCCCAGCCTAATGTATAGAGCTTTAGTATGCCTTTATGTCATTTTTCTTGCCAAAAAAATGAGAGAGAGAGAGAGAGGGAGGGAGATAGATAGATGTAGATAAACAGATATTGATAGACAAATTTTGATAGATGTTGATACTGCTTAATAAGTAGATAGAACACCTCACACCCCTCAAAAACATAGCACTCATTTCAATTCTAGATTCTTCAGCTGGTTTGTTGAGAATTGAAGATAGTCTATGAAAGAATGTAGGTAGAATTAATTCGCAGTTCTCCAAAAACCATCAGAACTGTTGGTGAGAAGCTTTATTTCTGATTTCCTCCTAGGCGTAATTTTTAACTGAAAAAATTGTTGGTAATTCTTAAACCAATATAGGAAATCAATGTCAAATGATATATTTTATCAGTAATTATTCTTTTTAAGTCAGAGCAAACTGATTAACCACTAATTTTGGTGGCATCAAGAATTTCTAATAGTGTGGGTGACCCAGTTTCATATCACAGATGGCACGAGAAGCCTTCTATTCCCTCTTTGATATCTATGTACTCGATAATAGCTCTCCTTTCTTAGATGGCCTCGGTAGTGTTTAAATGCTTTAAGACAGGTCCTGCACACTAGTAATAAGGTGGAGATCATAATGCAGCGGGGCGTGATCAGTACGGTGGTAACAGTGCTGGCCGCTCTGGGAATTAAACCTTCCAAGAATGCCTAGCCCTAGGACCAGAGCCCTACCAGGCTGCGGTGTCTCCACAAGAAAGGCCCAGATGATTCATTTAGGGGAAGTTTAGAAGGTCAGTCCACAATGGAGGGCGTTTAATTACATTCATCCCAAAAGGTACAAAACGGAGAGAATGAGAGAGGCACAGGGGGGAAACTAATTAATGTTCCATTTATTTTAATATAAAGAACAGAACTTCCTGCTGGAGTAGCTAAAAGCTCCATAGAGTCTGTCCTTCGGCAGGGATCCTGTATCCCACTTTATGAGCTTGGCAGTTGCCAGCAAGCAAATCTGATGTGAAAATGTCCCGGTTTATTTGTGACTGTTCTAATAGAATGGGAACATCTGAATTGCTAATTTCAAAGCAAATCCAAATGAAAACCAAAATCATGAAATCAACGTACCACTCCTTTTTATTTTGTCTTTGTGTCTTTAGCCACCTTGTAGTGATCCAGGTGCCATTTCAGCAACAGCAACATAGCTACACACTTGTGTACCACCTTCCATACCATGCATCCCCAGGTGTTTTGCGATGTAGATAGAACTAAGGTTTGAAAACCAGGCCCAGCCAACCGAGTGCCCTTGAACGAAATTTCCTCTGGAGCTGAATCTCCCAGTTAAAAAAAAAAAAAGAATACCCTTAGCTGAATTCCCTATTGATAAACAATCTGGTCATTTTTTTAAAAAAATGAACATATCCTTTTGTATATATGTTTTAATTCATTATACCTGAAATTAATTTTGATTTAACATTCTCATTTTAAGTGAAGTTAGCATTACATTTTATGAGACATATCCTCAATCACAAAACAGCTAAAGGGATTCAGCATTATAATGAGCTAACCTGTAGCACGTGGAACTCTTAATCTAATAACACCTTCCTGCATCAGACATTTTTTAATAGCTACAATTTCTGCAGTTCATTAATCTAATGTACTAGGAGTCTTCCATTAAAATACAGCCTCTTTAGGCTTATTTGACCAAATTTTGACATTAGTTTTATAGTACAATTTGGTTGATGTGTTCAAGAAATTTAAATGAGAAAATGTGTCGAATACAAATAAGACTTATTTAGTCATTACTTAGTTCATGGGGGATGAAAAGCAATTATGATACTATTTTAACCTCCTTTTTGTTTTTGAGTGCTTAAATAAAACACCCCCATCCTAAGGTGATAGGAGGATTGAGGCTTTGACCTCTGATCACCTACAGATAGAAAACTTAACTATAAAAGTAAAGCACAGAATAAAAACTACCTGTAATTATTCACACAGTACTATTGCTTATGCCCTGTTTCCTTTTTCTCCTCCTCTTTTTCTCCTGATATGTACCTTCTTAAAAGTGCCAATAAATGGTAAGTTCCCCCATTCGCCCTTGGAAAGGTGTGGAGGGAATGGGAGTATGTGTCTTATCTGTAGATTCTGACAAAGCCAGCTGGTTCTGCTGTGTGTCGGCCTGCATGTTAGCTCTTGTAGAACATTCCATGTGTCATGTGCTGGTACACAACCTTCTGTCAAGCTTTCTGACACTGGAGCATGCAAGTGACTCCTCATCCGTTTTCTGTTTCCACTGTCTTTGGATTTCATGTGTCAAGTCCACATTTCTGTTGCTAGCTTTATAAGCCAGCCCATTTTGTGCACTTTTATTTTGCTCACAGAACATTTGTACGGAGTTTATTTACTTCATCATATAAGCTAGTTAATGACTCTTCGGAAGAAGACAAGGCTGGTTTTGTGCCAGGTCTTGGTGAAGTTTCAGACCGAAACTTCTATAAACTTGAGCGCCCAAAGGCTAAAGGGTTCCTACCAACTAGCTTTGTAAAAGCAATATATCGTTTGGACTGCTTTGTAAAAACAAGGATTTCTGCCTCATTCCTATCAGTATTGCCAACCCCATTTAAATTTCTAAACATCTAGCCTTTCTTTTTCGCTGAGCCACTGTGGGGATTGTTGGAGCCGTAGGTGGAGGGGATGTCAGCGGCAGCTTCTGAGCATTCTCAGTGACCCCCCACGTAGCCCACTGGTCCTCCCTCATGCCCGCCGTGGCCTTCTTTTCCTAGACGAAAGCCACACGATGGCCAGCGACACCAGCAGCTTGGTGCAGTCGCACACTTACAAGAAGCGAGAGCCGGCCGACGTGCCCTACCAGACCGGGCAGCTTCACCCCGCCATCCGGGTGGCCGACCTGCTCCAGCACATCACGCAGATGAAGTGTGCCGAGGGCTACGGCTTCAAGGAGGAATACGAGGTGAGCACGAGCACCTTCCTGGGCGCCATGCCTGGGACTGGGCTCCCAACTCCTGTAGCCAGCCGGCAGGACCCCAGGGGGCTGCCAGAAAGGGACCTATTTCCATCTGGTGGTGAGACTCCTTACCGGAAAGGTAACGTATGTAAAATGGGAAAAGGAGGACCACTTCACCATTTCCCTTCGTCCTCGTAAATATGCAACGAAACAGAGGCCAAGCAGGCTCTTTCCCCATTCATGATTACGCTTCTTGGCTTTTTCTATAATTAAGTCTGATGTTAAATCCTAATAATGTTGCAGTAGTTATCCAGGAAGAAACTGTCCACTTAAAACAATTACAGACCAACCAGTGATGTCATGTGGTGGAGATTAGGCCCCAGGAAAGGAGGCTGGCTAGTGTCACGGCCATGACAGCCGCTGTCCTGCCGGCCCAGAGTGCGTGGCTGTGCTGAGATCTAGTGCGGGCAGCTTCTGGGGACATTTCCAGGCACAGTGATGTTCTCTCACCTTCTCTAAAATGTAGGGCTCACTTTACCACCTCGGCCCCTAGCTGATTCTGTTGGAAAGTCGTTCAAGAACTGGAGAGAATTAGTTGATTTGAAGAAGTAGGGTTCAAAGAAGCATCCCATCACTTGTGTGTGTGTGCGTGCAGCTGAGGCCGGTGAGGGGGAGGAAGATAGTGGGGATGGACCTCTCTTTTTACCTTATTAAATAAAATGAGCTCACATGCGTTGGTGGAGAAAAAAGTAGCAGCTGCATACAGTACAAACAAGATTACATAGATACGGAGCTTTGGCCATTTTAGAATGTGTCTGCGATACTACATCTCCCTAACCAACTCACAGTTGGGAAACATTTTGTCTGGAATTAAGAGTATTTTAGAAATCAGTTCCTACCACCTCTGTACCCTATGAGTTTCAAACTCTGCTTCTTTCCCCCCTCGGGGACACTGATGATACTTCATTTCATGCCCCAGATGCTGTGTTGTCTTGGGTTTAGCCCCACTTCTGAGCTGAATCGCCAGAGATTTCATTATAGCAGTCAGAGCTGAGCCATGGCTGCTTTTAAGAGTGGGTCTTTAGGCCAACGTGGACAAACGGACAGACACTCTGCTCTGCTGACATGAGCATCCTCCTTGCGTTGCCAGTGACCTGAGCTCAGAAGCCTGCTGTGCCAGGGAAACTGGGCCTCAAGGGTTGGATTTCAGTCCAGGCAATATTTTCAGATAAAGTTCTGCATTTTAGCAACCCCAAAGTTCTTAGATCTACCTTTAACAATTTAGCTTGTAATTTGGTGAAACTGACTGCCTTTGCATGTTTCCTCATGCACTTTTAAAGGCTAGCTTACGAATTAATAGGATTAAGAGTAAGACTTCCAAAAGCATTAATATCTTATGAAAGACAAAATTAGGTTAGTGAGAAAATATAAGCCTAATGAATAGAGATGATGTCTTAGTTCTATCCAATATTCTGAATGCAGATATTGCTCAGATGTTTATTAAAGATGTTAATAATGTCAAAGAGATTATAGGCTCAAATACAATTCATAAAATCACCTGAGTCCCATTTTTCGTGGACTATATAAAAATACCTCAAGACTTCCTATAACACACTATAGATGAGGCATATTTGAAAACATACAAAAAAAATTATTTCCCATTCATATCTCCTGAAGAAATATGACTTGTAAGTGCAAACTAGAACAGCTTATACTCATTTGAAGCAGTTTATAATTAATGATTTATTAAGGGTTGTTATACTGAAATAAAATATTGTATTAATTAATTACATTTCAAGAAACTCTTTTTCTCATTCTAGCTATTCATGGATCAGAGAGGACTGTAATATATACATGTATCAAATCATCACATTGCATACCTGAAACTGACACAATGTTACATGTCAGTTACATCTCAATAAACTGGGTGGGGGGATAAATACTTTTAAACACCAAGACCATTATCAGTTTGTTGGGTTTTTTTAAAGAGGGAAGGAAGAAAAAAGGGAAAAAAATTAAAAAGCACATATGCTAGAGAGGAAAGCAGGAACAAATAGGGAGGTGTTACGAGGAGAATTATGAAATGGAAGGTTCTGTAGGGGATAATCCTAGTGCTCCATACACACCTCTGTGAACCGTGCAGCTGAGTGTGCAGCCTTTCATTTAATCCACACCATAAGTCAGGAGTGCCCTGGCTGCCTGGTGCGGTGTGAATCTCACTGTGGTTTGGGACACAGGCTCTGGGGCCAGACTGCCTGTATTCCAGCTCATCTCTGCATCTCTTTAGCTGGGTGACCTTGGGCAAGCTGTCTACCCTGTCTGGGCCTCGGTTTCTTCATCCATAAAATGGAATACCTATAGTGTCAACCTCAGAAACTTGTTGTGGGGATTACCTCATTTAGCATCATAAGTGCTAGACTTGAATCTGGCATTTAGTTGAAGTGTTAACCAGTAAAAGAGAAAAATACTAACTTATAATAAGATCCAAGAGAAAAGTTCACACCGTGTTCTTTACAGGGAGATTGTGTCATTTTGTGGTTTCAGTTCATCTCTGTCATTTCTTGTGTTCGGCACTCTGAGGATAGAATAAGCCAGTCACACTATGGCTCAGTACATTTTTGTTTCATCTAAAACACTCAGTGGTTTCCTTACCATGTATCATGTATCATCCAAAGTTCCCATTAAAAGGTAACTTAAATGTGTAGGTAGGTTTGATTCTGTGGACAAAGGGTTTGAGAAAATAAGTATTTCAAAATAGATGCTGTCACCTTTTATTGCTAAAAGAATATTTTCATATCTAAATTAGGAAAGTCCTAGGGAATGGTGTGACTATAGACCACCAAATACTGTTTATTTTTCTAAAAAAGTTTCTAGGGTGTCTTTGGCAACAAAAGTTGGAGGAGAGGCAGTTAATTTAACAAGTTGCTGTGCTCGTTAATTCGCCAGCGTATACTACTCAGGTGCTGTGAATCTGGCACTGCTGGGTGCTGGGGACATGGAGAACTTCCTGCCCCACGCTCACCCTCCGGAAGCTCACGCCACTGGAGGAAGCAGCCATACAGGGACTACAGCAGGTCTGTAAGCTTAAACCCCACAAGTGAGATTCGCGGCAGTCCTTTCAAGGCCCCTGGGGGCACGTTGGCTAGTCTGGGGTACCAGACTGAGCGAGGATGACTCTTTCTTCAAAAAAGTGAGTGGGAGTTGGCCAGGAAATGGAAGATGGCAGATTCCAGGCAGACACAAAAGCTAGAGAATGGGGTGTACTCCAAAATGGCAGTAGTGCTTGTGCCCAATCCTAGGAAGGGCTGGGGGTCACGGGTAGTCAGGCTCTGATCACAAAGCATCCCACCAAGAAGTTTGAACACCACTCTGGAAGCCATGGGAACTGAAGAAAGACTCAGATAACATGAGTCTCTCCTATATTTGGATGGAGACTCATTCCTGCACTATTTAGCACAACCTAGTTGTTAAACATTATTTGTATGAGGCACACAGAAATTGCTTGAAAGATAATCAGCACCCAGAAAAGTACAGGGGAGGGGGAAACTATTCACTGAAAAGTGTAATACGAACTAGATTGCTCCATTCCCATTCAAAAAAAAAAAAATCTATGGAATGCTTGGCTTCAGGATTCACTGAAACAATGAATGATGTTACATCTCTGAGGATAAAATGTCAAGAAAGTCTCCAGTTACTGCTGTGACTCGCCAAAATGAATCGCTTGGTCTTTCTGGTTTTCTTCAATCCATGTGTATTGGGGAAAACCAGCCCCAATAGTGACTTTCTCTATGTTGACACTGTTTCAACCCGTCTGTCTTTATCTTTTCCAAGACAGAAATGTCTGAAAATTGTCCTAAGCGCTGGAAGGATTCATTACTGTTCAAGTAGCCGCCAGAAGTGTGTCCAAACCAAAGGGAAGACATGTGGTGGGGACGAGGCTGAGCAGCACTGAGTGCAAATTTTATATTTGATTTTGTTCTAACAAGATCGTCATATGGCATATCTCACCAGGGAAATGCAGTAATTTGATTCAAAAGAAACTCAGACATGAATCACAATAAAAAAGTAAACATGCTGAATTGAACAGAAAATGGCAGGTTGTCATCAGAGAGTGGATCAGGGATCTCGGGAGAAAGACGGAACAGAAAGGGCAAGTTTGTTCACGTTGCTACAGAAGAGGAGCTGGTTCTTTCTCCCAACAAGCAAAGAGCAGTCTGTGCTAACCCCTTGGGGAACATCTGTGGGTTTACCAAAAATGGGAGAAAAAAAAGATAGCTACGCAGGAGGAATACAAGGTAGGACTGAGCCATCCTCCCCGCCTCCCCCCCCCCCCGCCCCCGCCCTGCCGCAGACTTGGGCCTCTGTCCCCTGGAGTCCCGATGACTCTGCTGCTCCTCCCTGAACTGACAGGCCCCATTCTAGACACGGGTGTCCTGTGCCCTGTCACTTGTCACTGCCCCAGGGAGCCTCAGCAGGGATCCTGCGGGGTTGGAGAGCAAATCTCTCCCCCTCCTTGGCCCCAGAAGGCCTTCTTTCTTTCTCTATTTTATGACTAATTCGAAGTCCCTTTGGATCTCCAAGCAGAAAAGACATTAATCTTACGTAGGACCACAGTTGCTTAATTCTGAAAGAACACATTTTGCTATCACTGTAAAATTAAGAGAAAGGAAGGACAGCACTTTAAAACTACTCCCAGTTAGGGCATCCGGAAAAACACAGATGGCACTATTTCATTAGCTAATGGTATTGCTCTGGGCCACAAAAATTTATTTTCCAATTACTGGAGCTAAAACTTATAAACCTAAGTAACGCTTTGCAGCCTGCTCTTGAAAAAAAAATAAGTGTATACATATATATCTAAATATATTTAGAAAAGTATTCTTCTCATCCCACTTACTTTTCTCCTGTATATTTCTCAAGGGTATAAGCGCTGGCGATTGATTTTGTAATTGAACATGGAGACTGTTTTTCGGCTCAATTTAAACTGGGAAATTGAAGATGTTATG